TTTTTAATTGTGCGCATTATTTTTTAGTACACGCGTTTAAAATTTCATTATAACGAATAGTAATATATGTGGAATCCCAGTAGTAAGATTTTCATCATATGGTTCAGAATGCATCACTATATGAATTTTAATATTTTTTCTAAAAATCAAATCATAATGAAATTTTAAACGTGTAATAAAAAATAGGGTGCACAATTAAAAAAAACATAAAAAATATTTTTCAAAATATAAAATGATCGAAATACCCTTGAAAAATAACGAGGGTAATTTGATCATTTTAAATTATTGAAAATAATTTTTTTATATTTTTATATGGTGTGAAATAATGTTAGGTATATCCTTCGCGATTTAAATGTCCTATGGAAGAGGACATAGTGTACTTGGACTTCTGTTACACATCAAGGGGGCGTTTTCGATACCAGGAGCCCTTCCCTCCATTCCAGATCGTGCTTATAGTCGTTTCGCTCGCACTTCGGCTTATCGCCCACCATTCACGCACGCTTTTGCCCTGCCCCATTTGATCAGGACTATCTCCTTTCTTCAAGGCTTTTCTAGGGGGCCCTCGCCTTTTGAACTTGGTTGCCAAGCCTAAAATCTCCACTGCTTCGATGGACACTTCCTTAAATTCCAACGCCACGCGTTCTATGATTTATCTGGCCTTGCCTATCCCAACATTAGCACTTTTCTAGGTTTCAAGGCTTTGAATTCAGTAGATGGAGGAGTCAGCTGAGACGGGCCAATCAAATCGACCATGGATAGGGATCAGTCCAGTGACTCAAGGTTGAGCATTATCCGAAGCCCACCATCTATTTAATCTTTCTTTGGTGTTGAAATTTCATGGAAAGGCCCAGGGAGATCGAACATTGAAGATTCAGGAAAGAGGTTTCTTTAGTCTGAAAATGTGGGGCTTGCGAGCAAATGCGTTGAAAGGACTTAGCCGAAAAACTTTCGACACAAGGGTTTGACTCTTGTTGGGAGAGGGAAGCAGGTGTTCCGGCCATGAAAGCAAGGGACGAGAATAGGAGTCACTTGATCGGATGGAGGGGGAAGAGTATAATGACTTTCGATCGGGGCAGGTCGAATGACTTAATATCAAGCATTTAGACTTATATTGGATAGGGTTGGTGATCAAACCCATTCCCTTCTGGCACGACATAAGGTTGAATGGGTAAGGGGTCTCAGGGGAGAAAGTCCATTCAATCATTCCTCGTCCTATACTTAGCTGTAGAGTGGCCCGACGGTCTTCCATCATCATCTTCCTCCTCAACCCTTCCCCTTATCTTTTAATACCCTAAAATGACTAAGAAGCATGTCAGAAACTGAAGCATAAAAAAGGAGCAATACAAATATGAGTAAGACCAATCAAAACTAGTTAAACTGTAAGCAATCATCAAGAAATATAACAGAGAATAATTGGAGGGAGAAAATTGGAGAATTGATAGACTCAATTAAATCATAAAAGACAGCCCTAACAGAAGGCTACACCTATCTTACAGAGAGTTGATCATCTTATAGAGGATACATTAAGCTTAGACCTTTGAAGTCGTGACGCAAGTGTACTAAAATAAAATATTAACCTCACTCTATGATACCCTAAAATGACTAAAATAATAAAGAGCGCATAAATACACATAGAAGCATGCCAGAAACTGAAACATAAAAAAGTAGCATTATGAAAATAACAACCGTCATCCTATGATACCCTAAAATGACTAAAATAGACTTGAAATGTTGTTGTTTAGTGTATGTTGTTCTGATTACTAAGCTATCGTGGATTACTTCTACTCAGATTGTTGTATTATGTTGGTGTGCTTTTTGTTCAAGCATCGAAAATTTCACTATGTTTATTTTTGGTTATCGATTAGAGAGCTATCATTGTAACTATTGTAATCTGACTTTATAGTTTGCTATTATGTGTGGAGGAATAAGATTTCATCACCATACTTACTAAGGTTTGTTTTTGGTATGCTTTTATGTGTATTTAGGCGCTTTTTACTATTTTAGTCATTTTAGGGTATCAAAAGATGATGGTTATACTATTTTATGTATACTTGAGTCAGGGCTTCAAAGGTCTAAGAGAACTAATATAATCTCAATAAGATAGGCCTTATTGCCTTCTGTTAAGGCCTTCTTTTAGTCTATCAATTCTCTTGTTTTATCCCTCCAATTATTCTCTGGTATGTTTCTTGATGATTGTTTGCAGTTTAATTAGTTTTGATGGATTTCGTTGACTTCTAATGCTATTGCACTCAGACTGCCCTCTGACTCTCCTCTAGGTGATGTTGTTTTGTGAAGTCGGTAAGGAGGTGTTCTTTTTGTTCAAACACCATACTGCACATAAATACATGTAGAAGAATGCCAGAAACTGAAGTATGGTGTTGAAACCTTATTTCTCCGTACACAATAGAAAATTTTAAAATCAGGTTACAATGGTTACAATGATAGCTCTCTAATCGATAACTAAGAAGAATCAGGGATCAATCAGAGGGCAGCCCGAGTGCAATAGTATTGGGAGTCAACGAAATGCATCAAATCTAGTTAAACTGCAAGCCGTGACTCAAGTATACTGAAATAAAATAATAACCAAATTGGAGGGAGAAAACTGGAGAATTGATAGACTAAAATAGAAGCATGCCAAAAACGGAAGCATAAAAAAGGAGAATAACAAAAATAATAACCATCAACCTATGATAGCCAACAATGACTAAAATAGAATTGTTGCTGTTTATTTAGCCTATGCAGTTCTGATACTTAAGCTATTGTAGATTACATCTATTCAGATTGTTGCATCATGTTGGTGTTCTTTTGTTTGAGCATCGAAAATTTCTCTTAGTTTCTTCTTAGTTATCGATTACATAGTTATCATTGTAATCATTGTAACCTGACTTTATAGTTTGCTATTTATTGTGTGTAGAAGAATAAGGTTACAGCACCATATTGCACATAAATACACATAGAAGCACGCAAAAAGCTTGTAACCAAGAAGAATTAGAATGCAATTTTTTATGCTTGAACAAAAAGAACACCTCTTTACCAGCTTCACCAAACAACATCACCTAGTCAGAGGGATTAGAAGTCAACGAAATCCATCAAAGCTAATAAAACTGTAAGCAATCATTAAGAAACATACCAAAGAATAATTAGAGGGAGAAAACTAGAGAATTGAAAGACTAAAAAGAAGGCGTTAACAAAAGGCAACAAGGCCTATCTTACAAAGAGTTGATCATCTTACAGAGAATAATAACCATCATCAAATGATACCCTAAAAAGACTAAAATAGTAAAAGAGCGCATCAATACACA